ATTGATAAATCTGTATCATCTATATATATATATTGATATATATATAAAAATATGTAAATTATATATAAATATATATATACATTATAATTCTAATTACATTGATATTATTCCCAACTTAAAACTAAAATCTGTTTTCATTGTTTTCCAATCATTTTATTTTTTTGAAAATAAATAATAACACTTAATTTGTATATTTAAATAAATAATAATAACATTTATGGAAACACTCATTATTTCCAATCATTTTATTTTTTTGAAAATAAATAATAACACTTAATTTGTATATTTAAATAAATAATAATAACATTTATGGAAACACTCATTATTTCCAATCATTTTATTTTTTTGAAAATAAATAATAACACTTAATTTGTATATTTAAATAAATAATAATAACATTTATGGAAACACTCATTATTTCCAATCATTTTATTTTTTTGAAAATAAATAATAACACTTAATTTGTATATTTAAATAAATAATAATAACATTTATGGAAACACTCATTATTTCCAATCATTTTATTTTTTTGAAAATAAATAATAACACTTAATTTGTATATTTAAATAAATAATAATAACATTTATGGAAACACTCATTATTTCCAATCATTTTATTTTTTTGAAAATAAATAATAACACTTAATTTGTATATTTAAATAAATAATAATAACATTTATGGAAACACTCATTATTTCCAATCATTTTATTTTTTTGAAAATAAATAATAACACTTAATTTGTATATTTAAATAAATAATAATAACATTTATGGAAACACTCATTATTTCCAATCATTTTATTTTTTTGAAAATAAATAATAACACTTAATTTGTATATTTAAATAAATAATAATAACATTTATGGAAACACTCATTATTTCCAATCATTTTATTTTTTTGAAAATAAATAATAACACTTAATTTGTATATTTAAATAAATTTAGGCCGGGACTTGATCCAGGAACTTGAAGCCTTTATTTTTTGGTGGATTTTAAGTTCCAGTCACCACTCTATCGACAGGTAATGGTTTTGTGCTTAATTTGGTTGTACTGTACATCTATCTAGTCCGTGAACTTCATAACCATAGCTAATGCAGTTCTGTTATCATTTCATTATATGTAGTTTTTGCATTTTCTTTCAAGGAGAGCATATCTTACAATGTTCCCAACATGTAGCGTGCGAGGCATTTAAGTATTTACGTTACCTAGTTGATCTTTGTTGGTGTGTTTGTGGAAGTAATTTGTAGTATGGAAAGTAATTGGGCCTCCATATATATAGATAGAAAAGAAACTTGGACTGGGTTTTCTTATTCTACTTTGTTACATAAGATTATGTATGTGATGTTCAAAATTATAATATACAGAATAATGATCCATTTTTATTAAATAATTTTTGAGACAATATACTTGATTAGTGTGTTTTTGTATAACTCATCTATCAAGTTTATAAATAATGCCGCATAGTATTATGGAATACTAATAATTTGGAGAATTCTACCATACACATCCATTTATCATATGCATCATTAGTTATGTCATTTTTTTTTCTTTAGTTATGATGAATTATCTTCGTTAATTATGATATTATTTTAGTTAAGACTTATAAGATCTTTGGTTGTGCCTCATGTGGTGTTTGGTTATGATTTATTTATTTTTTAAGTTATGACTCAGAAAGTATGAAATTATATCATTTTTTTACTAAACTATCTTTCTAATTATATAGTAGTCAAAATTAGAGTCGGATTTCGGTCTAGTCAAAATTATTTACTAAACTATCTTTTTAATTATATAGTAGTCAATTTTTTTTTATATTTTTCTGTAATTAAAATATTAACACCATTATATGGTTATTAATTATTTTTATCTTGTTTTTTTCAGATATTTCCTGAGTAGCAATTTGCTTCTTATAGAATGCGGGCGTATAAAGATTATGACCAACTTTTGTTTTTGTAACCCACGAAAGAATCAAGACGAAAACTTTTGGTTTTGATTTTGATTTTGATTTATGTTATTTAAATTTGTGAAAAACATTATGTATGTATTATGCGACATTATGTAGTGGCATAATTTTTATTGTTATGAATTTTTATTTATGTATTGTTATGAATGGAACAACATTATGAATTTTCATTATTTGTCAACTTTTGTTTATGTATGTATTTATATTGTTATGTAATTTTTGGATTTTTTTATAGTTATTTTTCATTTAATACAGGTTATTTTAATTTTTTTAATAATTTCCCAACAGGTTTTTTTTTTTTTTTTTTTTTTTTGAGACGACATACCACCCGTCGCAAAAAAAATTGTACGAGACTTTTGCGATGGCACCCATACTGTCGCAAAAGCTATGGAATGTAATTGAAAAATAAACCTTTAGCGACGACTCAGAATGCCGTCGCCAATAGTTATCAGCTACGACTCTTTTAGTGACGGTATTCTTGCCGTCTCAAAAAATCCATTTTAGCGACGGAAATACTGTTCTGTCGCAAAAACTCAGATTTTCTTCACTTATTGGCGACAGAAAGTTGTCGTCGCAAAAAAAGGCACTCTCCCGTCGCAAAAAACAATGGCGACGACACTTACCATCGCTAAAGCCCTTTTGCAACCCCCTTTGTCGCGACCCCCACTTGCCGTCACAAAAAACCAAATTACCGTCACAAAAAGTATTAGCGACGGCGTATGGGGCATTTGCGACGGCGTTTTTCCGTCGCAAAAAACACTTTTTTTGTAGTGAAAATAATAAATTTCAAATTTCGTCTTATACATATCAAACAATTTATTTTTAATTCAATACGTAAATTTTTATCAAACACTCTAAACATGGCAGTGAAAATATCAAAGTTTTAAGCAATAAACTTTCAGGTTAGAGTTAGGATTTGATCACTATAATAAATATTGAATTTGAGAAATTTTACTTTGCACCGTAAGGTAAGATTAGTGATCAACAAAATTGTCTACCTATCCTCATTTATGGTTTTTTAAAATTTTTGTTGGCATAGGATGATATTACTTGTTGCACACTTCTTCTTTTTTTTAATTTTAATTTTTTTCTTATTTTCTTGTTCCAGAACGATAGGTATCAAAAGAAAGATATGGAGCATATCAAACAAATTACTTGGAGAGTAATATTATAGCCATATACTTTTTACAATATTTTTCATCACCTACTCACAATAAAAATAAGTTTCATATCATGTGATGAAGTGAAGTCCACTTTCATTGTAGGCAGGGATGGATCGAAGAGGGAGAGGGGGCTGGCAGGGGCGACCGCCACCCCCAAAGTTTTGAAAAAAATCCCCTAGATACAGTAATAAAATTACAAATATTTTTAAATTATATAGGTTCGTCACCCCAAAGTTTTTGCAAAAAATTTAAGAACCGCCACCCTCTAAATTTTCTACTTTAAAATTTAAAAATTTAATTATTTTTTTGATAAATACTAAAATAATAATAATAATAATTTATTTTTTAAGTATGATTACTTTTTTATTTTAAATTTAGTAATGTTAAAATAATTGAGAATTTATTTGTTAATATGTTAAAGTGATTTTTGTCTGATTAGGGGCCAAATTTTTTAATTGTTTGCTTATAACTAAAAACAAAAAATTATTACTCACATGTAACTCTGTCCCACACTTGAAAATGCCTCCAAATTCTTCGCGTCACTTTGCTTTGAGCCCCCTTCTCCACTTTACTCTCTCTCTCTTTCTCTGTGTGTGTGTGTGTGTGTGTGTGTCTGTGTAAATGATGTGAAAGCTTGGGAAAGAACTCGCAAACCTCGCACTGAAACAACAAATGGAGGCTATGTTGTGTTTAGATCGCGTCCTCTGATTCCTTTTTCACTTTTTCACTTCTAGGTAATACTAATCTCTTCCAAATTTTTTTCACATTTATTCGCTCATTTGTTGTCTGATTTTTTTTTAAATGATTAATCTCGTTTTTGGAAATAACAAAATCTCAATATACTCTGTTTGGTTGCTAAGCAATTGGAGAAAAGCTAATGAAAATGAATTCGAAATCTTCTCTTACTTTGGTTGCAAATCCAAGCGTTTACTATAGAGACAAAAACCAAAATAATAATAACAATAAATTAACCTAGTTCTCAGAGATGAATAGGCTTAAATATTTGTAATTTCATTGCAATTCACTTCAATTTGGATGTTATTCACCTTGTTAGGGTTAGAAATTCTATTACATTGAAGAAGTTGAGTACTAGTTTGGGGATGAGAGAGTTTGTGGTGAATTGAATGTTTATCATGATTGTTGATCTGGCTAAGCCGAAATGGAAAAGCCATACTTAACGGTGGTGTCGATCACAGTTAATTTAGTCTCGAAAGTTGAAAGGCTAGCGTAAGATTTTTATTGTTTATCCATTGAAATGACATGTCTTTTGATATATTATATTATATCGTTAGTGTGCTTATTTTTACCTAGTGAGTAACAAAAATTGTTTTATAATTTTCAGGTTCTTAAATCAAATTGAGTTGAATGTTAGGTGAATTATGGTGAACAAAAAAATTGATTCTTTCTTTAAGAAAAGAGGCTCTCAAGATATAGAAGTTAATGCAACTACAAAACCTTCCACTGATAATGTTGAAGCTTCAATTCCTGAACAACTTCCTTGTAAAGTGCCTAGAATAGAATCCAAAGAAGTTGATACATCTTCTTTGGTAAGGGATCCAGGACTATAACCACAAATTTGGGATTATTTGATATCCCAACGTGATGAGATTCGACGAGCTTACATCAAACTTGGACCATACCAACCTAACAAAAAACCTTTTGAAGAGAAGAATGGGCGTCATTTTCTAGCTTCTTAGTACAAGTTATTTCCAAATTGGCTAGCATATTCTCCAACCAAACATTGTGCCTTTTGTCTTCCTTGCTATCTTTTTACAAAACTGAATGGACGCGCTACTTTTAGCGCTTTCATTTCTGATGGATTTTCTTCATGGAAGAAAGTTATTAGTGGAAAGAATTGTGCTTTCTTAACTCATATAGGAAAGGGTCCTAATTCATCGCATAAAATTGCTGTTAAATCTTGCCATGATTTAACAAATCAATTGCAACACATTGAGAAGATAGTTGAGAAACAAACTTCTCAACAAGTTGCAAAAAACCATTTACGGTTGAAGACTATGATAGATGCTGTCCAATGGCTTACATTTCAAGCTTGTGCATTTAGAGGTCGTAATGAAAGTCATGGTTCTAATAATCGAGGGAATGTTATTGAATTGATAAAGCTCTTAGCATTTTATAATATGGATGTGGTAGATGTTGTGTTACACAAAGCTCCTCAAAATACTTCATACTACTCGCATCGAATTCAAAAGGAGATTCTTAGGGCCTGTTTGGTAACATTTACATTTTTAATTTATATTTACAAAAATTTTATAAACTGGTTTTTGTTTATTTTTTGTTTATTTTTAGAAAAAATATAAACTACAAACGTGTTTGGTTTAGACAAAATGTTTAAAAAAATTTAAAAATATAAAAAAGAGCGAGAAATGACAAGTGGTGGCGGGTGGTGATGAGTGGTGGCGGTGGAAGGCGGTGGTGAAAAATGATAGTGGGTGGTGGTGGCAGAAGACGGTGGTGGAAAATGGTGGTAGGTGGTGTGGTGGCAGAGGACGGTGGTGGAAAGTGGCGGATGGGTGGGTGGTGGTGGCAGAAGACGGTGGTGGAAAGTGGTGGCAAGTGGCGGGTGGTGGCGGCTGAAGACGGTGGTAGAAAGCAGTAACGGGTGGGTAGATGGTGGTGGCAGGTGGGTGGTGGATAGCGGGTGGTGGTGGTGGTAGTGGGGTGCGTGGGTGACGGTGGCGGGTGGTGGCGGTGGCGGGTGGTGGTGGGTGGTGGTGCGGTAAGGTGATAGCGGTGGTGGTGGCGGCAAGGTGGGTGGTGGGTGACGGGTGGGTGGTGGGGTGTTGGTGGCGGGTGGTGGGCAGGTGGGTGGTAAGGGTGGTGGTGGTGGTGGGTGGTGGTGGTGGTGGCGGGTGGGTGACGGGTGGGTGGTGGTGGTTGGTGGTGGCTGTGGCTTGTGGCGGTGACGGGGGGTTGGTAGTGGTGGCGAGTGGGTGGCAGGTGGGTGGTGACTGGTGGTGGCGGGTTGGTGGTGGTAGGTGGGTGGTGAGGGGTGGGTGGTGGTGGCGGCAGACGGTGGTGGAAAAATGGTGGGCGGTGGTGCTAAGTGTGGGTTTGTAAAAAAAAACTCAAAAACTCAAAACGGAAACACATTTTTTGAGTTTATATTTTTTGGCCAAAATTTATAAACTGAGACCACTGATTTATAAATTAAAAATTTTACCAAACAAGTTTTTTATTTGAGTTTTAAATTTTTGTATAATGTAAATCTGAAAACTGAAAACTTGAAAACTTAAGTGTTACCAAAGACGGCATACCTTAGTATTTTTCTTTGACAAAATACCAAAAGATTTATTTGTGAGGAGATTGATGAAGGCAAAATTTTGCATTATAAGTGGATTGAAAATTTGGAGATGAATCAAAGAGGGAGCAAATGGCCATTGTTCTAAGATTTGCTGATAAAGATGGTTTTATAAAGGAGTATTTTTTTGACATAGTTCATGTATCGGATACAACATCAGCAACTTTGAAAGAAGAAATATGTATTGTCCTATCTCGTCATAATCTCAGTGTACAAAATATTCGTGGTCAAGGATATGATGGTGCTAGTAATATGCGTGGAGAGTGGACTGGGTTGCAAGCCTTATTTCTTCATGACTGTCATTTTGCGTATTATGTTCATTGCTTTGCTCATCGACTCCAATTAGCATTGGTAGCGATAGCAAGAGAGGTTATACCCGTTGCCTAATTTTTTTTTCTTATCTGGCACTCACAATTAATCTATGTGGCTATTCTTGTAAAGGCATGATCAGTTAAAAGTTGATCAAGCTAAAGAAATTATATCAAAACTTGCCATTGATGAAGTTGAAACTGGTAAAGGCAAAAATCAAGTTGGGACATTGAAATGGGCTGGAGATACTCGATGGGGATTGGTGCCACTTATTTAGTCTTAAGTAATGTCATCAATGATGGAGGCACTCTACTCAACGTGCAGATGCAGATGGAGTTTATGATAAGATTACATCTTTTGAGTTTGTGTTTATCTTACATCTTATGAGAGATATTATGGGGACTACTGATGATCTTTGCCAAGCTTTGCAACGTAAATCCCAAGATATATTGAATGCAATGCATCTAGTGTCAACTACAAAAGCACTTGTTCAAAAATATAGAGAAGACGGACGGTTTCCTTCATTGGAGAATGTTCAACTATTTTGTGGAAAATATGACATAGAAATTCCTGATATGAGTGCTCGTTACACATTTGGTAGAGGTCATGATTGTCACCAAAGAGATCACATTACTATTGAGCATCATTTTCGGGTTGATATTTTTATAATTATATGTGATTCTCAATTGCAAGAATTGAACAACAGATTCAAAAAAGGTGTGATGGAGATGCTTGTTCTTAGTTTTGCTTTAGATCCTAGGGATGATTACAGTTCATTCAAAATTGAAAATATGGACAAGCTTGCAAATCAATTTTATCTTAATGACTTTACAGAGCAAGAAAAAATACATTTGATATTGCAAGTGCAAAATTATAAGATTGACATCCTTAAATATCTTGAGTTTCAGCAGTTGTTGACAATTTCAAACTTGTGCCAAATGTTGGTAAAAACAAAGAAGTCAACAATTTATCCTCTTGTCAATAGATTAATTCGTCTTGCTCTAACTTTTCTAGTTTCTATGGCGGCAACAGAACGGGCATTTTTGGCCATGAAAATTGTAAAGACTAGATTACGCAATAGGATAGAGGATGGTTTTTTTTTTCAAGCTACTTGTTAACATATGTTAAGGAAGACATTGCTTGAGATTTTGATGTCGATTCCATCTTAGATGCTTTTTATATTATGAAAGAACGTCGAGTACAACTTTAGATGCACTACAACAAAATGCACCTTTGGCGACTAAAAAAAATTTAGTTGCCAAAAGTTGTGGAATTGCCGACCAAAAATTTTTTTAGTCGGCAAAAGTAAAATATTTAGCTACTAATTTTTTTTAGTTGGGGTATATTGGTTATTGGGGACTAAAAAAAATTTTAGTCGTTAAAAATACCAGAATTGGCGAGGAAAAAAAATTTTAGTCACTGTATATTGAGTTTTGGCTACTAAAACTATTTAGTCACCGAATGGAAAATAAAAAATTATAAAGATATGTTTGGCGACCAAAATTTTAGTCGCCAAAAGTTTATTTTCAGCGACAAAAAAGAATTTTAGTCGCCGTATATTGAGGCCGAATGGAAAATAAAAAATTATTTTTTACCTTTGGCGACCAAAGTTCTAGTCGCCAAAATTTTATTTTTAGCAACAAAAAAGAAGTTTAGTAGCCAAAGGACTAAAATTTTTAGAGGGAGACATTTCAAATATTTTGGAGGGATATATAAAATACTTTCAGCAACTAAAAAATTTTAGTTGCCAATAACCATCTATATAAAATAACAAAACATCTCAGATTTTGAACACACATATCCTCTCTCTCACACACTTACTCCTCTCATCCCTTTCTGATTTCAAATTTGGAACACACACCTTCTCTCTCTCTATCTGTCTCTCTTTCTACCTCCATCGGAGCTCATTCCTGTGCTTTACTGTCGAAGCCCAACCCTTGCCTGCGATCGAACCCCAAAGCCCCTATTACTCTCTTCATCTTCTCTCTTCCTCCCTCACTTTCTCTCTCCGCCATCCTAATCGTCATCGACGAAGACCGAATAGAGCAACTCCTGAATGAGAGATTTAGATATGGGAGTCGAAAAGGAAGCCCTCACTACCGGAACTAGACCCAAGCCTGTTCCTGGTCAGAGCATCACCGTCCACTGCACCGGTTACGGTTACCCTCCTCTTTATTTTAAGCCAATATCTATGTATATATATACATTTTTGTGTATTATATATATATATATATATGATTCCAATAATGATTGTGGATGTACAGGGATGGATCCATGGTTCATAGACATCCATAATGATTGATTGGGTTTATTTGGTTTGTACTTGAACTAAGATTATGGTTTGTGTGTTATAAATACTGGGTTCTGCAACATTTTGATTTTTGGGTATTGGATGGTTAAAGCCAAGTTCGCTATGTTGCTTGCTCTTCTTGTGAATTGGGTTTGTTTAATGTTAGTTTTCTTAGGAGGAGGAAGGCTTTCGCAGTTTTTAGGCCCTGGAGGGAGGTAAATTTGCTGTTTCACTTCTTTTTTAATTGATTGGGTTTGTTTGGTTTGTAATTGATTATGGATGTACAAACCAGTGTTTCTCTTACTTCATATCATCTGTTTGGATTAGTGAATAGGGGAGACATTGGTTTCTTCTAAAACCATCATTTTGAATTTTTGAGAAAAAATAAAACAACAGATATAGAAAAAACTGCTCCTTTAGATATAGAAAAAATAAAAATAAAAACACTCACTAATGTATCAGGTGTTAGTCACAAACTAATGGTAAGAGTGCTGACTTAATCTTTTATTTTGAACTAGTTTATTACAATAGCGTTCTCCACGTGATACCAAAAAAATTGTCTTTTTTTTTAATTGAATTGATTTATTACTTTTTACATGTAAGTTGATTTATTACGTTGGACATATAAGTTGTTACTACTTTGGACATGTCAGTTTATGTTGTCTATATTATGTTATTTCAATCAGCTATTTGTGGTTCGAGATACTATGACACTCATTTACTGATTTGTCAAGTTACGGTATTTTTATGTTGTCTGTATTATGTTATTTCAATAAGATATTTGTGGTTCGGGGTACTATGACACTCATTTATTGATTTATTTATTTAGTCTTGCTATATCAATTGATATATTCGTTGTGTTATTCATCTAAATTCAACTAAGTTAGTTATCTAATTTTTCCTTTTCCATAAGCTAAATTACTTGTTAAACAAATTTAACCATATTCTGTTTAAACAAAAATCAAGCTCTGCATTTTTGATTAGTTACCTCACTAGTTTTTGTTACAGATTGATGATATTGACATGGATACAATGATGTTTTTGGGCTAGATTGATGATGTTTGCATGGGCGCAATTTACATTATATTTTTGTTTATGGAAAATATGTACACCTGATATGTTTTGTTATTCAGATTTTATTTAATTTGGATTTTAATTGTTGGTTTGGGTAGTATATGTATTTATTGGATTATACTATGTTTATGGATATGGTTGAAAATTGAATAGTATATGTAATAGTTAAGTTTTGTATATGGTTGAAAATTGAATACTACAGGTTGTAGAGAAATATTTTTATTGAATGGTTAAGAATTGAATGAATGAATGAATTAATGGATGAATGAATGGGCAAAAAATATTACAGAACAAATTATAAAAACTAAATGAGACATTTTGGTGACTAAACAAATATCATAGGTTAGCTTTTGGCTACTAAAATTGTAGTCGCCAATTGTCAAAAAGTGAAACTTTTGGCTACTAAACTTTTGGTCACTGTAGACACCCCATTTTTGACCGTCCTTAAGACTTGGACGTCACCCCTCGAACACTCGGTGATTACTCATGTTTGTGTTTCGTTTTGTGTTCCCGGAGGTCTCGACTACGCGCCTTGTCTCAGGATCTCTCAACTCGACTGTTCTGTGTTTGGTTTTGCACCAAACACTTGTGTTTTTGCTTCTGAGGGTAGAAAGTAGCTTGTTAGCTACCCCTGACACCCACCGGCCTTGGTTTGAGGCCACCGGCCATGTTTTGAGGCTACCGGCCATTGGTGAATTATACCATTGGCCGGTCGGCACTCAGTATGGCCGGCCGGCCATCTGTTTGGCCGGTGTCCTCCTTTTCTGGCCGGTAGCACCTTTTTACCTTTTTTAAGCATGGTTCATACCAGCTGTGCCAGCTGGAATGCACTAAACCTGCCCCGGGGCATACATGTGGCTGTTTTGCCCTTTTTGCACCCTTTTTTGGTCAAAGCTTCTTGAGGAAGCTTGACCCTTTGTCAAAGCTTCCTCAAGAAGCTTGCCAGCTGTCCTAGCTTCCACAGGATGCCTTGCCCCCTTTGACCCCTTTTTTTGTTTAGCTTTTTTGAGAAGCTTCAAACCTTTGTTTTGTCTATATATAGAGCCCCCCTCCTCCATTGTTGGCGCTTGAACGAAAAAAACCAGAGCTTATACATATATTCTGATATACATCACTCTCTCTCTCTATATATTTCCCTCTCTCTCCTCTTTTGTGTGTGTTTTGTGGCCTAAAAGTGTGTTTTGACCTTAGTTTTGCACTAAGACACACACCATTACACCACACTTTGACCTTGAGAGGCTTAGAGGGTTTGTTCTTGAGTTTTTGGACTGGTTTTGATCGTAGGAAGGTGGCTGATCTTGCTGTTCCTCAAGGGCTCTTCAAGGGTAACATTCTTACTTTAGATTCCCCAATCTTGCACTAGATTTTTGCCTACCTTGCTTGCTATTTTAGACTTTGTGTATAACTGAAAAAAGTCTTGTATTTTCATGCTTGAGATCTTTCATTAAGGTCATTTGGTTGTTTGGGGCCAACCTCCCCTTCTTAGGCCTCTTTTGGCCTCTTTTTGTGCTCTTTTGTTAGGCTTTGGTTACTCTTATGTATTGGCTTTCTCACCACTGAAATCCAGTGGATTTTCAGTGGTGAAGAAGAGGTTCTGAGGTTTCGCTTAGGGGAGGGACACCCCTCTCCCTTGGTCTGTCTTTTGTTTGCATATTTGGCTCAATATGGTAGCATGCGTGCCTAGTCTTGTTTGGCTTTATTTCAGAGCTCATTTGGTGCTCATTTAGCATGTATTGTCTCTGCCTCATGTTGGTTTTTTTTTGGCCTTTTGCATGTATAATACACTTGCTTTGAAATCCCATCATTTGGCTTAAAGTGTATCATGTTGTAGCATATCATTTGAGCATGTTTTTGGCTTGGTCCTAAAAAGGTTTTAGCATTATTTTTCCATGCTTAAGGTCTGTTGGTTACTGATTTGGTCATGCTTGACATGTTTGATGTGGTTGCTATGCATTTTGGCTTGTGAGCCCAAAGTGTGTGAGTCATAAACATGCCCTAGTTGGCCTATTTCAATGAGTTGGAGTCATTTGCCATGTCATTTCAGTCCCCAAACCATACTTGTATGCTTGCATTCATCACCTCTTTCATGCTTTGAAGATGCGTCCTTTTATGCCTTGAAATGAGCATTGTGCATGCCTAAATGTTTAAGCCTTTGGGGCTGCCATATCAGAGGGTTTTAGGACTTATTTCAATGCATCCAAACTCTGTTTTTGGTTGTATAGCTCATGCCATGTTGGCTTGGGGTAGTGGTAGTAGAATACCCCTTGGTTATGCCTTAATCTTGGGCCTAATGGTGTGTATGCTTACATGAGTATTTGTTTATCATTTTAGGCATCTTTTGTCACTGTTTTGGGGTGGGCTGAGGTTTGCCCCTTCGCATTGCATTATTCATGTTGCATCTTTGAGCCAAATTTGTATACATGCATTGAATTGCTTGGTTTGGGGTGTCAAGCGAAACTTGAGGGCTGAGGAGTGTTTGCACTTCAAGTGACAAAACACGTCTTAACCCTCGGTCGCCAAGCCCCTTGACCCCAACATGATAGGGTGTTGGCATTCATCTCCTCTTTGTTACATGCATTTTTACATTAAGTTGCAAACATGGCTTATTAGGCCATCATGCATAATTGATGGCCCGAGGGTCCAGGACCACGCTCCCTTGAGTGCATAACATGATTGGGAGAGTGGCCATGCACACATTCGCTTGAAATGCATTGCCATGCTATGTTTTGCCCTCTGCTGCTGTCAAAAACAGAT